GAGCTTCCTAAATCCGAGCTCCCTACTGGGAGCCCGAGCTCCCTGATAAGAGCGAGCTCCCTCCTGAGAACCCGAGCTCCCTGCGAGGAGCACGAACTGTACTGGGCCCCAAGCCTCACAAAGCTGACTCGAGCTTACCCGTAGCAGCTCGGAACACTCCAAACCGAACTCAAGGCACCTCGCTCGCCACTCCAACACTTTACTTCCAAAGCACCAAGCCGGTCAGACGTACCCGATACCAAGGACGTCTTTATCCAAGGGCGGCGTACCTGACTGATTTGGGATCTGACGCCTGACAGCCGCATTTCAAACGGCTTCCTGCCACCGCCACCTGCAACCGTCGTCACTAGCCGCAGAGACAGCTCCGACAAAAGGAACAGTGGCGGTTCTGTCCGATTAGAGGAATTGATACCCGAACTGACAGGAGTTCAGAAGTAATCATGCCCGACCTGACGAAGGCCTGGAAGTGAGTGCGCGAGGTGGTTATAAAAGGCTTCTACCCCCCCAGGGATAAGGTATACTAACTTTCACGCTATCTGGTTATTCTTGCCTTTGAAGGATTCTAACTTGAGCTTCGGAGCCCTTACGCCGGGTTCTCCCCGGAGCTTCTCTTCTCCTCCCGTTTCAGGTCCCTGTTACTCATTTCAGAGGCAAGATCATCAACAGCTAAGACCGGCCAGATTGTACATCATCACCAATGTTCTTTTTCATTCCTCGTATAACACTGTGGATTCATCACACAGGGAGAAGACAATTTTTCAGCATCCTACACAATTTTGGGCAATCTTCTTTTGACCCTTCAGAGTACCAGAAATTCATCGGATGGTAACTGTAAGCAGACATTTTTTTTTTCAAGTTGTCATGGAATCAAGTGTCCCATCAATCAAACAGTTAGTGTTGATGGATCATTAAACCAAGATTACAGGTAGAGATGAATTTATACCCCTTGTGTCGTATATAGGACCAAAATAAGCATCTTTTTCTATACATCTTAAAATAGGACAGAAGAAAAGATCCAAGATCAGTTCCATAACGGTGTATCAGGCTTAATCTTCATCATTTTGTTTATTAGGATTGCCATACACGACAGAAAAATAGTGCCCAACTGTTTTCAGTGTGAGGCCAGGAAACCTGTGAGAGCTCCCTGGTCGCAGATCAATTTTAACAAAAGGCCATTGCATGGTTTGTGCAGCTTCACATTCCTCCCATCCATCACCAATCACACAGAACTGAACATTTGGTCCTCTGAAACGCTCCTCGATCCATGAAAAACATTGGGGCTTTCCTGCTTCCCACGAGCTGTAAACTGAAGAAACAGCATAAATGATCAGTAGTTATACTTTCTGAGATTTAAATATAAAAGAAGGTGCAGTCATCTATTATGATCTACAAGCAGCACCATCTCTCTAGGAGGATAAGATTGGGTTCTAATCAGGTCAATCAAGCAAGCATGCTAGACCAGTTAATACAATTTATCTGCAAATGCAACCAATTATATTAGAGCCGAGTTTTCATCACCATCCAGGGCTTTAAATAGGGTTTGTAAAGTTTTGACCAAGTCAAAAACTCACTGGTATTTATGAAGTGGATGCAAGACTCGTCCAAGGATTCTTATTAATTGCATCGTACATCAAAGAAGTTTGAGCCTGTTGGTACCCAGAATGCGCAGCTTAGATGGACCCCAAGATTGACTAATTCTTGTACAGATAGTATAGCCTACAGTGGAGTATGCATTAGTCATTCGTAGTGGGGGAACGGTCCTACAGGTTAGAGGCATCTAGCTTCATTTCATCTATTTATGTTGTTTTCCTCTTGTCCATTAAATTGGTAAAATGAAATTGACTTTCCCTCAGAATGATCAAGGTGCGCGGGTCCTTGTATTATTTCTTATAACTTGAGTACTTTTATTCTTTAAAAATAATCAGTGTTACAGATGTAATAATAAACTAATAATATGAAAACTTCACCTCTTTAGACTGTTGTTCACCTTAATGACCAAGGCATCTAAGATATACTATTGGAAAAGATCTCAAGTCCAGACCTTGAGTCAACAAAATTCACCTCTCGCCCCAAATTATTATATGGGTAACATCATCTCACATATCCCCTTCATTATGGATTAACAATAGATGATAGATAGAGAGATGCCCTTTGAAACGATGAATACAGACTTGGCTTTGTATAAGTGCAAAAGAGGATAGCAATAATATAGTTATGTTTTCCATTCTACAGAAGATCCCTACTTTAGATCCTCCCCTTCCTTCATCCACAAAACTCTTGCCTACCTAACAAATAAGTAAAACCAAAAGATTTCTACATGCTAATCTTCTAGTTACACTTTTTCCCCTGTATTTCCAACTGTTCTGGAAAGATATCATATGACAACTTGAAAATGTAAATGAATCCTATATGAAGGACCCAACTCAACCAAATACAAATTTTGCAATTACAGTTACCAATTCTTACATGCAAGAATGATTTGACATCAACTAGTTTAACATTCAAATATATTTTCAAAACAAGCAACATAAGAAAAATAATGGACTATAATTATCAATCAAAATTATGGACTATAATACATCAAATGCAAAATGCCAACATTACATGCAGAACTGTAGGAAAAATAGTGAAAACATAAGCCATGAAAGGGCATTGGAAACAAAGCAGTCAGAGTCAGAGAACAAGGATGAAATAAGATGATAATACATTGCAAATATATTCTAAAGAACTCAAAGAATGAACTGACCATTTCCATGTGTTATTAAATCATCCAACCGGAAAAGCATGCACTTGACAAGACTGGGTATCAATGATCCGGAGGTAACTAAAATATTGACATTCTGGAATTCCCTATTGGTAGATTCAGCAACATCAGTAGGAGATGCAACAAAATGATTTGTGACTTTGTTTCCTTGTGAACATTGCTCCAAGAACAAGCGTGCTGCATTTTCATAGGGAAAAGAATTATTTGTACATATTATGAGAAACTCCACATATCGAACACAGGTTCAAATATGATTGTATCTCAGATACAATAATAATAACATGGATTACTTAAAGTGGAAACTGTGGAATATCCAGCATCTGTGACCACATGAAACAACAATTTAACATAGTCGTCCAACCTTTGCACGACAAGAGGTCTTCAAGATACTTTTCTAAAGTGTATCAGGGACTGCAGAGATTCTGGAATGCGTTGCCCTTTTCATTAAAGACTTAAAGTGCAACTTGGGATAGGTTGAGATCAACCCTACCACTTCCCTGATGACACATGTCTCCCATAGCTGTGATCCCTAAGCATTTATGAATCAATAATATTGGAGGTCAGTTTTTAATATATTAGGGAGTAAAGGCTTTAAGATAGGTTTAGAGTTCCTAAAACATTACCTAGGTATGATGTATAAGGAAACTTGAAGTTTATTTAGGTTTAAGTTAAGAAGTGAAGATGCTGTAGTGAAAAGTTTAGGGATGCTGCAATATGGAATAAGGAGAGATGAGCTTGAAAATGATTAAAGAAAAGATGAACTTGAAAGAATATTAGGAAGCCGTTTAATATCTAAGGTATGCAATGTACATCTCCTCATGCATGCATCTTGTGCATTGTAGATGGGTAATCAATGGATCTATTCATCTAACTCAAGTATTGTTTTACACCTTGGGAATTCTTGCACTCTTGGGGAAGGACTTTTTCATATCATCAATAGGTGCAAGAATCTCTTTGAAGTTGGAACCTTATGCACTTTCAGTTCAGAGAAAATTAAGTGGAGGCATTAGATGAATGTTGTGTTTAAGGGCTATGGAGGAGTGAATATAGAGATCTTCCAACGAGGAAGTTGTATTATTGTGGATAATGGAGGATAAGCTGATCGAACTAGAATTTGACGACAAAAGAGTGCCGTTGACAGTCCAAGAGGGGAATTCTCATCCAACTCCTTATATGATAAGCTTATAGAAACACTTGCTGAGAACACTCAGGTTTAGTAAAGATTTAGGGAAACCCAATCCATAGTTGCCAAGGTGACGCCTAGGCGACAAGGCACCCTTGGAGGCTCACCTCGCCTGATTGCCAAGCAGTATCGTATGTTGTGTTATAAAATACTTTTTTGTATTCTTAATTTTTTGAGATTATAATTATAAAATAGACAATATTAAACTAAAATATTCATTTTATGTGTTTATATATCAATTTCTTTTTATTATTTTCTTACTTGTTAGGGTTTAATCAACACAAACATTGCTAACTGGTGTAACTTCAAAACCTGAACCAATAAGGAAGAACTTAAAATTTTGTCTGACTAACACATTTTCTTCTTCCACATCTTCTTCTTTCACCTTTACTTTTCTTCTTTTCCTATGACAAAAATAGAGGTTCAGCCCCTATATTTTTTGAATTTTCTTACTTAAAAAAATCCACCACCTAGGCAACAAGGTGCCCCCCTGTCGCCTAGCCTCATCTTGGTGCCTTGAAAACTATGACCCAATCCCTCCTAGGCTGGGATCTTTTGATTCAAGGGTTAAGCTTCCAACCTCCAAGGTCTCATTTTCTTCTCTATGGGCTATGGGAGAATTACTTTCAAGAACAATTCTCACATGGATATTGGGTGGATGAGAATTTGCCAATGGAGACTCAGTCACCATATTAAAGAAGAACATCAAGTCCAAGATGAACCCCTCTTTCCATTGGTTCGAAAGTACAAGTCCACTACCAACATCCTTTTCTTTATTTCTTCTGAAGGGCTACACAATGGGGGTAGCCCTCTAACATTTTCCAAGGTAGTTGACTGCCCTGGCCTAGTTTCCTTTATTCCTCTCTGGATTTCTGTAATACAATTTCATAATTTGACTAAAAAGTCTAGTTCTCTTTAACTACTACTAAAGTTTAGGGGTGATCATTTTCAGCCTGTCCCAGAAATTCTGGGCTTCAGCCTAGATTTTGTGTTTATACCTGGCCCAGGCCCACAAGTTTCTGGGCTGGGCCTGGGCCCAACACCTCAGGCCCGACCCACAATGCATGTTAAGTAATATAATATACATATATCATAATATATGATATATCATATCATATATATTACTATCTACTCTATACTATAGAGCAGACAGTTGCCTCAGTTTTGGTGCAAGTCATAAAAGTTAAATCTGCTTATATAATGCTAACTTACATCTTACCCTTTAGTTGCACACGTGCATAGCGTGTGCCCCTACAGTAGCATACTATATGTCAAATCAGAATATCTTATTAATAACATATAATACAAATATTTAGAAATGTCTTTTCATTTGTTCAAATATTTTAATCTTATAATCTAATTGGTTACTTGGTGTACAAAGTACATTGAAATTTTTTCAAAATTTAAATGCCTTTTCAATTTTTGCAAGATTTAAATGTCTTTTCAAAATTTAAAATTTAAATTTCAAAAGTATAATTAGTTTTTGAGAGGGAGTTTGTTGGATGGATTGTTTTAATCATTAATGCCTAGTAAGAGTCTAGTTGTATTAGAAGTTTAAAACTGGACCTTTGCCACACATGGGATAGGAAGAGAAAGGGCACAACCAAGATGACTTATAAAAGGGAAGTTGGGATGCTTGATAAACCATGCTTTTCTTGGCCGTTTTGCTAGGCTCAGAATCAGGCCCAGCCTGGACCCATGTAGGCCTAGGCCCGGACCCAGTCTAAGGCCTCTTAATAGAGGTGCTAAGCTTGGTCCAGCCCAAGATCAACCCTACTAAATCTTATTTGATTTAATCTTAGTTTTACATTGTTCGGAACTCAGGACCAGGGAAAAATCATTTTATATGCACCATGCTTTTAGTTATGGAACATTCTTATTTACAAGTAATATCTATTTATGATCAACCACAATTTCTAAAAAGCTTTTCATCCCCCACAAAGAAGATAAAACTTATGACCAGAAAAATAGTAAAATACAATATTTGATCTCAGCAAAAAGGCTGAGAAAGGTAAAAAGTAAAATACAATATTGATTCCCCATATGTCATTATATCAAAGTCAATGACAAACAAAACACATTCATATAATATTTTTTTCTTGTATTTTAAAGATGCTTCTAGTAGAAAAGTTTTGATAACCTGTTTTGATATAAAATCTGTAAAAGAAAGAAGAGAAAGAAGAGAAGAAAAGGTTTCTGCTAGAAAGAAAGAGAAGAGAGATAGAAGAGAATGGAGGAGAAGCCAAAAATCTTATCTGGCCACCCCTTTCATTAGATTATATACTCATACATAAATATTGTATAAGTGCAAGTATACCCTTAGTAAGTCGGCTACTTGTAAGAAGCTGAAAAGTCAAACTTAACTTGAATATAAACTAATGGACCCAAGGCCCAATAACTACCTAACTAAGTTATGTAAATAAAAACAAATAAAATCGGCCCACAACTCAACACTCCCCCTCAAGTTGGGAATAAATGTCACACATTCCCAATGTTACGATTCATTAGTCTCACATCGGTAGTATGGGATGCTGTTGTGGGGTGTATATGTGTCTGGGTTCCCTCCCTCTAACAGCTAGCTTATAGGGGTGAGTTCTCCTAAGGCACATAACAGATGAATTGATAAGTACCGCTGCTATTCTGTCACCGGTGAGCTGGTTCGAGGGAGCTCGCCCTCCTGAAATGAACAAGAGGTAGAAGACGAGAGAGAGAGAGAGAGAGAAATCTCAATGTTTCATTCCTACCCCTCAAGCATTCATTCATTGGCCTATATAATAAATGGCCAGCTACAACTGTAACCACTTCTGAGCATTTTCGAAGTCTGATTATTTTTTTTCAATACGTGGGTGTCGGTTATATATGAGTGTATGGGTGGTGCCACCCGTGTGATTCGTGTGGTGTTCTGGACTGACGCGTGGGCCTTCTGGGCCTGACTTGCTGTGTCTTGGGCCTGGGTCTCCTGTTGTGGGCCCAAGTGGGTAGTTGAGGGCCTATCAGTCCCACCTTCTTCAAGAAACACCTTGTCCTCAAGGTTGATGTGGGGATACTGATCTTGTAGTTTGTCATAGTCCTCCCGAGTGGCATTTTCTGGTGGCAAGTTTTTCCAGATGACTAAGGCCTGCTTGTGTAACTTCTTGCCTATCTTGACCCCTCTTATATTTCTGATTTGTCGTGGTTCAATCAGTATATCCCGTCTTCTGTGAAGTGCGGAAGGGTCGGGCTGACCTTAGTTGTAGGGCTTAGGCAAGGCTTCAGCATACTAACATGGAAAATCGGGTGTAATTTTGAGCAAGTAGGAAGCTCCAATTCGTAAGTCACCTGTCCCACTCGTTCAATCACCATGAATGGGCCAAAATACTTAGGAGCTAGCTTTTGCCAAACTTATCAGACTATTGGAGCTTGCCGGTAAGGCTGGAGTTTCAAATGCGGGTTGGCATTGGCACGATACGACAAAGTGGGCTTTTTATTATATTGTATTGTGATTTTTTTAATTACAATAAGTGGTTTGAGGACAAAGTCTATTCTATTCCAATTGTATTGTTATTTTTTAATTTAATTTTATTATTTCAGATATAAACAAATGTATACATCAAAATTCATCTAAAATAAAATTTTAAGAATTTTTTCATTTTTTGTATATTTTGTTAATTTATTTATAAATTTCACTATTTTTTCAATTCTTTTAAAAAATATGCCTCTTATGGCCTAACCTAAAGCCTAACACAGGCTCGTTTGGGCTCATGCCATGAGCTGTGTTGGGCTTGACCACTTAAGGATCCCAAAGGAGGCTGGCATGACTCAAAGAGGCCCACTAAACAC